TTGTTTAAGCAGCTGTCTTTTGGCCTGAGGGTTTGGGGTATGTTGATATTTGTCGGTTACTATGACTTCTTTTTTTTCCCCCCTCAATTGCATCAAACCCTTAAAACATGGTGGTAAGTGAGCGATATGCATGCTTTTGGAGTTTGTTTAATCTCCGCTTCAGTCTATACGGTGCACAGTTCATAATGTTAACACTTTCCTTCAAGTCTACTTCATTCACTATCACAACTAATTTGGATTTCAGTTTTCTGTTTAATCCTCATTTACTATGATTTTCGTATCTTTTTCTGTAGTTCTGTTCTGTCCCTCTCTCTTGATTTCCCTGTGAGGGGTCAGGTTGTTTTTTGTCTTTACCTATCAGGGAAAGTAGTGTTGCTGATAGTGACTCAGTCCAGCAATGTAGGGCACACGAGGCTGTTTTCTGTGCTCCTATAAATGTGAAAATGGATTTGGGGACAGAGATGATGGGGTTCATGAGGTTTAGACACTAGTGTGAATAACAGCTGCTCCCGTTGGCAGGCATGGCAGCTACACCAGAGCCACTGTTGCTACAACCCCTACTGCAGCCTTCTTGCACGTCAGACACCGGGGCACACCCGTGCAAAAGAAAGGGAAGCTGGTGGAGGGGTGGATGGAGTTGGTGCGGACAGCATCATGCTTTGAAAAGAATTAGCCTGGCTATTGCGATTCCCCCTGCCCTGCTTTTTCTGTTAAAAGTTGGGATACATTGATGATATTCTTGAATCAGCTATTGTGCTTTAGAATTTTGTATTTTTGGGTGCAAAGCCAGAGCACTCAAAATATTCTGAGTTTGCGCCTGTGTCTTTTCATTTAAGTCCCCGAGTGCTTAGTTCCTAGCATGTAGCTGAGCTGGCTTGGCTGGATGCTGAGAGCATTAGGGTGTTGTGGTGAGGGAGGAGTTAAACTGGGCTTGTGTCTTAGTACCTGACGTGTCTTTGTATATCTCCACTGCACACACAGCACCACAAGATGTCTTGGTGTCCCTAAGTCTTAGTTTGTGCTCTGTATCTGTTTGATAGTACTGTTAGTAGAACCCTGTGGACACTGGTGTGTCACTAGCCTGTTGTTTTGGCTGACAAGTTGCTGGTTTGTGGTTAGTTGTTTTTTGTTTTGTTTTTTTTGGTCCTTTTTGCTCCAGTCACCGTGTGTGCTGGCAGTGGCTTTGCCTCTCCGTTGCCTCAAAGGAACAGGTGGAGCAATGTCTCCTCGGACAGACATTCCTCCTGACATGTGCTCCTGCGGACGCCTGCACTGAGACTGTAACCTCCATAACTGCTTCATGTGCACCAAGCCCCCTTGTGGAATCCTGCTGAGAGTTTTTCTAGAAGCCTTCAGTGAAACCAAACCAGTCTGAATCGTTTAGTCTACCTGACTTTGGTAAAAGAAAAAGAACCTAAGAGTACTTACTTGTTCCTTCCCCTTTGTGGTCCTTTAAAGAAAATTCTATGTATTTATATCCCCACTTAAGTGGGACCAAGTTGCCCTTAGTTGAAACAGGAAAGAAAAACGTATAAATCAGAATCATAACATACCAATTTAAGAAGGCTTCTAAACTCAGATACTGGAAGCTTTTTGATTTAAAAAAAAAAAAGATACCTGCCTCACCTTGGTTTGGGCACTGGTTTTGGCCAGTCTGTAGTGGAAGTCTTTTTCTGGACGGCTGCCACCACTGCTCAGCTTTCCTTGCTGTGCCACAGAACATCCTCGTGTTGCTGGCAAAGCCTAACCCGGGTGACCCAGTATTAGGGTGAGCTGTTGTGGCTTCCTCTCCCTCAGTCTCATTCTCCAGACTAAAGATCCAAAACAGCCAGAACGTGTCTCTTGGGGAAGTGAGGATGTGTGGCTAAATGTGTAGAACATGCACATCCGTCTCCATCGCGGGATTGAGCTAAAATTGTACATTCATTCACCACAGAAAACAAACAGCAGGATTTTACAACTGAAATGTTGGTTTGTCTTCTCATCTATTTAAGAGTGAACCACTGGAACTTGGGGACAAGATGAATATAACGATGTTGCAGCCTATCTGTCCGCTACAGTTGCAGTTTTTCATGACAAGCATTCAAAGTGTTAACTAAAACCATTGAAACAACATACCTGCCATTAAAAACTTGAATCTAGAAATAATAACTCCATGAGTGTTTTGCACCTCCAGATGGAATGGCCTTGAATAAATGCTGTGATAGCCATGTTTGCCACTTGCCATTTGCAGCTCTATTAATCCCTATGCAGAGTCTCACAATTGTCTCCTTTCTTCTTCTGTCTCTCAATGGATTATTCAAAAACTGAACACCTGTGTAGACGATGAACCAGCTGGGCCAATGTAAGTACTTTACTGGACATTGATTGAATACTTTCTGATTGAATTATTTTACATTCATGGTTTCATCAAATGAAACCTAAGATTGCAGGGAAGACAGTGAGTGGAAATGAATGTTGCTGTGCAGACTTTATAGCCTACCATGGCCATTTGATTCCCAGGACAGGCTCACAGTTTTGTTTTAGTAGCAAGGTAAAGTGTGATACTGCCCTGACCGGTGTGTGGCTAACTAAGTGGGTTAAGCATCATCCCACAAACCAAAGTGGGTAGATTCGTGGTCAGGGCACATGCCTGGGTCAGGCCCCTGGCTGGGGGGCGTGTGAGAGGCAACCGATCAATTTATCTCTCGCACGTCAGTGTTTCCCTCCTCTCTCACTCCCTTCCTTCCCATCTCTAAAAATAAAGAAATTTAAAGAAGTCAAAGTACAATATCATGCAAGTGTTTAAAATTCTGCACATCCCATATGTTTACATTGATAATGTGGGGAAAATGACCAGTATATCTTGAGAGTTTGGGTTTGATTAAAGTTAATTTCAAGCTGGACTATTGCATAAGTATACCATTTGGTTCCATTAACAATTCCATGTATCCAGGAGATGGAACTGCAGATTTGGATCAATCCAAGATATTATACTCTCCTAGAGTTGGGGACCAAATAGTACCCAGTTAGTAAGTGCCAGAGGGCACAGCACTGTCTCTGTATAATTGAGTATCATTTATCATTCAAGAAAACAGACTGGCACTCAGTAGAGAAAAAATACTATTCTAACCTTTATAGTAATTAGATATAGTTTATAAATTAAAGGGAATGTTATCTGTATATTGTCTGCCTTGGGAGTCAAAAGGATGAAGGTACAGAGGTCTGCCACCCAGGGAATATTTTTATGGGCTCATACTGTGCAGTAAACTTTCTTACTACACCAGGGATGACAGTAAGTGAAAGAATCCCTGTATTTCCATGTGTTAATACTTTTAAAAGTTGCTACTGACTTTGAATTTAACTCTTGTAATATAATTTTTCCTCCAAAGGAAAACCAACTCTACCAACAATCACAAAGATAAAAACTTGCGCCAGAGAAACACAAATTAAGTACCACTTATAATGTAAGTATGGCATTTCTTAGAAGTTTTAAAAATTATATTGGAAATGAACGTGGCTCTGCTGACCTTGTTACAAAACTTCAGTTTGTGTCATGTTGCAAGATGTTTTCGTTCATTTCAGAGCAGCTCCCTACTGATGGAAGCAGTTAAACGTAGAGGCTGGAAAGGACCATTTGTCCGCTGCATTGTTTCACATGTTTATGTAAATGCCATTTCAGACTATGTATGATGTTTTAAAGTAACAATTTATGCTAGCTACTGTTTAAAAAGAGTAAGATTAACTTTTCACCTTCTTAGGTGGCATATTCCCAGAGGCCATTTAGTCCCCTCTGCTTCGGAGGGCAAGGCAAGACCTGTGGCCAGGACAGCCTGCCCCAGGGCCTTCCCCTGCAGTCAGGCACATGGAGATCAGAACTTCACACGGCATCCCTGAGCATGCTGTTTGAAACAAAGCTTTGCTTCGTGTGACACTTGGTTCTTACATGGCAGTGCATGCTTGTTTAACTTTCAAATACTGTTTCTTTACAGGTGTTTAGGTTCCTGAAACTGGTGGCAACACAATCTAAATTTTCTGCTTGGACCTCCTTGGTTCTCTCCCCTTTGAGTGAGCAACACCACGACGACGTCTAAAGCATGCCTTATTTAGCCTTTCCTGTAAGGGTTGACCTAGCAGGTACATTTCAAACAATGCTTCAGTGTAGAAGGTGTAAACTATTTTGGGCTTGATGTGCTGTGAATGTTGCTTCCTTCTCCTCTATTAAAATATTTAAATAGAAGTGAAAAGGTCCTCTGAGGATCGGATCATGCATGCGCCATTTTTTACTTACTGCAGCTGTTAAATTGGCAAAGCTCTAAAATGCACTACTGCCATCTAGTGATACAATTTTGTAACGTACAGCAAAACCTACAGATATATACAGTATATAAATATATATATATATTTATATTTTTGGGGGAGGGAGAAATCCAAAATAAATGCTTGTTCCATTTTTAAGCTGCTGATATTCATTCCATATTGTATGTTGTCAGGTGAGGAAATTGTGCAGTTCGGGTACAAAAAGATGAGTAATATAAACTGATATCTATAATTTTAAGGGCTTAACCTATGACTCTCATAAGCTGGAATAGTCCTCTGAATGGCTATAATGAATTGCAGTATATATATATATGTATGATTGCTTTTTAAGTGATTCTTTGATTGTTGATAAATTCTTATATCCTTTTGCACTGATGTGCTGAACTTTATACATTCAATTAAGGCAAACGTTTATAATTTACCTTTAGTTTTCAATGACCTTGAAATGTTCTAGCATGGTATTCTATGCAACTAGTTATACTTTGGGGTTGATACTGTATTTTTTCAAATTGATTTAATGGTTTTCTCACCTGTCACAGTTCTCAGTATGTAACTGTAGATGCATGTATTCGTGTTTTATGTAATTGTTGATGTGCAATGATGTATAAAAAAGTGGATTCACCTGTTTCTAAAAATAAAACATTGATAAAAGGTGTTTGGAATAATATTCTTTATTTTAGTACCTTCTGTAATCTTGAGGAGGCATTTTTCAGTGCTTTCCAGTTCTTTAGTTCTCCATGTACATAGAGTGTTAATTTCTGAACCCTGTCAGCTTTTTTAGTTCCTTTTCCACCTGTTCCACAAATGCTGGGAAGCTCTGATCCATGAGGCAGAGGCGGAGAAAGGGGCCTAACTCTTCCGAATTCCACGCAGATTGTTCATAGACAAGGGGCAGCTCCTCCGACGCCAGGAGAGACTGTGGGCATTCCAGAAGAACAGTTTATTAGAGATAACAGGTGAAAGCAACAGCCTGCATAACAGCACACAGAAAACTTTGCCTGAAGGAAGGATTAGGAAAACACACACCCAAAATTGATGTTAATTATACTTAGCTTTACACAGTTCATTTCTAAATACACATAAGAAGTGAGATAAACTTGTATCCTTAGGTATTTGCAAGTGTATTAATGAGATGATTTACAAAGTTAAGATCCTGCTTTATTGAAAAGTACTGTGCTGATAACCTTGTGTGGATTGATCAGAAACTTATCAGTGAATGAACTCCTCTAGTTTAGTTCATTATTCCTACCACAGGCTCATGTGTGAGGAACGGGTTCTGGGTATAACAAAGCAGAGTCACAAACTGACGGTCCAAAGGATGCAGTTAGCTTACCCATTTTTCCCCTGATCCTGTCCATCAGGTTGGACAAATAAAGGCATATAACCAAGAGCGAAAGGAAAACACAGAACATTTCCATCACTCCTCAGAAAAATCCCATCATGCTGCCTACCTTTGTTATCAAACCCTCAACCCCCTAGCAACCATCGATCTACAATCTCCATACCTTATAGTTTTGCCTTTGTCCAAGAAATGAAGTCATACAATTTTGAGGGTTTTTTCACGTACTTCTTTTCCACCTGTAGGTCTTTGGTAACTCGCAGCATTTTAAAACCAGTTGAGTAAGTTGCCAATATTTATGTATTAGCAGAATTCACATAAACGTCTGGCTATACTTGGCAATTTAGAAGCTATGGTGACACCGATGTGTTGACACTGGGTTCCCACTCTGTGATCTAACTACATCTTATTCTCTCAGGAATTCTGTTAGGTAGGTGGTTTTATACCTTTGCCATGGAAGGCAGGGCTGGTCTGTGTGTGTCAACTGATACTTCTCTAGGAACCATCTATAACGGAAATTTACTTTTTTTATTAAGATTTTATTTATTTATCTTTAGAGGGGAAAGGAAGGAGAGAGGGAGAGAAATATCAATGTATGGGTTGCCTCTTGTGCATCCCCTGCTGGGAACTGGCCTGCAACCCAGACATGCGCCCTGACTGGGAATTGAACTGCGATCCTCTGGTTCGCAGGCCTGTGCTCAATCCCCTGAGCTACACCAGCGAGGGCTGGAAATTGACTTTTCTAAATTGACGCCAGCCTTTCAGACTCTGCCTAGGTGTAGAAAGAAGAAAAATGAAAGGAACATGGAGCCCTTTTCTGCAGTAGGAGCCACTGTCAGCATGTTTATCTCCCTCCAGATGTATTTTCTTCGTATGAGTTTAATACAAAAACTGAGTCACACATGCTGTTTTTGTTGTCTTAAAAATTTAATATGGGTATCTTTCCATGCCAATAAATAGGTGCACCATTCTGTTGGCTGTATATTTGTCCCATCTGTGGTTATTCCACACCTTAATCATTCAGTATCCTATTAGTGAACATTTATGTTTCCAATTTTGTTAGTGTGAACAGCATCCTTACATTATGTTTGTGTAGCAAAAATAGAATTATAGGTAATAGATATGACATTGAATTTGATCTGTGTTGCTAAATTGCTTTCCAGAAAGTTTTACTAACTTACATTCATACACAGACTTGTCCAGAAGGCCAGGGCAAACGAGTAGCACACCCGAACTCCCAGTCTGGCGCTTTTTCTGGTTTGTGCGTGGCTCTTCTGTACCACGTGAATAGACTGGGCCGAGGTTACACCTCTCAGCAGCTGACATTTCCTGAATAAGGACATCACACCCTGACTTACCCCTTGTTTCTTTGTGCCTCTACAGTCCTCAGCCACTTTTATTCAATTAACCTCTAACCCCAGTGCAAATATGAGGCTACAAACCATGCACTGAGGTCTGCCTGCTGCTGGACAGCGGCTTTTATGTTTTCCTGTCATAGTTGCTGAGTTATTCAAAGAAACCACTCAAGTTTTTCATTCTGTGATTGTCCAATTATTTTGAGTCAGTGGTAAGCCAGATGGAAAAAACAACTATTTTTTATACAAATTTTAGAACAGTTTGATAGACTAAAGAAAATTATCCTTCAATATTGATGAACTCCATGCAGAATTCTGTAGAAAGCCAAAGCCACTGGCCTGAGCCTGCTGTGGAGTGCAGCTGGGAACGCAGCGAGCGGCCGCCAGGCCATGGGACCCCAGGGAAGTGTGGGGGAAGTTGAGTCCTCCTGGGGTCCACACGGCCTGCTGAGATCTTGGCAATGAAACTGCCCATCCAGAAACCATCAATGATCTGACTCCAAATTCACGCTGATACTTGTCTTAGTACAGTTTCCAAACGTCAATTAAATAGAAACCCTTCCCTTGATTCCTCTTTTTGGGAAAGTGGTAAATTCGTCATAACGCACCTGAAGGCTAACACTCCTCTCTTTCCTTAGGAGAAGTGCTCTTCAGTGTGCGCCACTGTGCCAACCTCGTGACAGGGTGGGCGGAAAGCCCGGCTCGGTCTCTACCGCCTTCTACAGTAAAACCTCAAGTTGTTATTCTAGAACAAGGGAGTGAACAGAGGTATACAGATTCTCAGGATCACTGTTTGTCATGACAAGAAAACACAGAAAGAGGCTCTACCTGAGCTAACTGGGTCACTGAGGTCCTTCCTCCTGCAATGCCTGTGCTGGCCGGCATGCACCGCTGCTGCCCCGGCTCCTGGTGTGACTGTAACGAGAAAACTGGCAGTTTAGCTAAACAGAGTCTTAAGCACCACAGGCCACTGAAGAAGTGGAAACACATGCATTTGTATTCAAAGGAAAAGTATCAGGAAAAACCGCTGCCAGTGTCACCTGTCCTCTTTTCAGCCGGGCTGCTACTTGCTGTAACACAGCAGAGGTATGTGCAGTTTAAATCTGAGGCCCCAGGACCACAGTCTGGTATTGGAGGGCAGTAGGTAGTGCCCAGCTTCTGATTATTGTGACATATGTCACTGATTAAGTGACATATGTTCTTTCAGAAAACCAAAGCTGGTTGTGGGGGGAACACCCTGTGATTGCAGGATAACCATATGTTTTTGAATAAAACCGAGTTTTAAATCTCGTTTTAGACATTCTGAGGGAATGGGTTCTCAGACACTGGATAAAGGGAAGTGAGCCACAGAGAACGAGGTAGAGAGGTCTGGGCCTCAAGAACCCACAGCCCATTGAGAACCTAAACAAACCAGTGATTAGAATGCAACCCAGGAAGTGTGGGGCGGGGGCCAGCACAGGGCCTCAGGCTCAGGGGAGGAGAGGTCTGGCAGGGTGAGCCAAGCCTGGAGGGCAGGAGTTTCTCGAGGGTGTGCTATTGCAAAGAGAGCTGGAAAGTGAGGGCTTGTTCTTGGGTAGCATTCGGGCAGGTGTTTCAGGCAGGAGGAGGCGGCAGAAGGCTGTGACGGCTGCTCCCACATAGCAGCACGAGAGTTTAGGAGAACCCCAGCACTTCAGATCTGCACTGCAGATTTGGCTCTGGGTCCTGAGGCTGTTGTGGTGCTCACCTCCAGAGAGGTGCACCCACCTCAGCTGTGTTAACAGGGAGAAACCAGGGGCCTCTCCAGAGGGCATCTCTGCCTATCACCAGCGTGTTCCGGTTGCCAGGAGTCAGAGGTGCCAAATTTTGTCTGTGGAAGCTGACTTGCTAGTTAGTAGGTGTTAGCAGAAAAATAGATGCAGAGGCATCAAAAACAGGGTTGGGGGACAGAGAGAAAGGAAGGAACGAAGAAAACGAGTCAAGATCACTAAAATTAAAATGAGCAAAAAGGGAAGAGACACTAACGAATTACGCGTCCTTAGGCAAGCCCCATTTCTCTCTTCAGTTTCCTCTGTGAAAATGAGAGACTCAAGTGCCTTGTATTTCTCCCAGCTCTGATATCTGATGCTGTCCGAGGGTACAAATCAGTTCAGCTCACATCGTGGTCTTTAAACAACTGGGAGAGACAATAACCGAAAGCCGAGCGGCACAAACGCTGAATAGCCGACCTCCACCCAAGTCCCCGAGGCTAGTGTAGTGGGATGGCTCCAGGGTCAGAGGGCCCGCCCCCGTGCAGGAGTGGCAGGCTCAGTGCGCCCAGTAGCTGGCGCCCCTGGCTGCTAACAGAGAAGGGACTTCACCCAGGAACTGCCTTCCTCTTTCCTGCCTCCCTCGGGTGGGCTGGCCTTAGAAGCCCTTCGGTTGAGAAACACCTGGTTATGCCACAATTAGCAAAATTACAAGGCTATTGAAAAGCAAAACCAAAGTAGGAGCCAGGGAATGATTCAAGAACTTGAAATAGATGAGGAATTATTTCTTTGCCAAAAAAAAGGAACTATTTTAGAGAAATATATTGGTATTGGGAAAATGGCACACCTGAATACAGGACAGCAGCAGTTGGCCACGGCTTTTACCTTGTGAGGCGTTCGGAGAAAGGGGGCGTCATGTTGAGCTGCACAGCAGCAGTGCGGGCCCACCAGGGGCAGAGCACTCACCAGGACTACGCGCATCTCCTAGGCGGTGCCTCACAAGGCCTGCACTCCAGTGAAGTAACCTGTGCTTTACCCTGTCTTCCCTGCAGCTGACACTCCAGCCTCTCCCACCCTTGCTAAATGACCAGGATGCTAACGTGTTCATTTGCAGGGGAAGGCAGATCTGAAGGGGAACAGTACTGGCAACCATGGTCACCACAGATAATGTTACTTAGATACTGGCCAGGATTATACTAGGTGCTTTCTATCAATACAGCATTTCAAATCTCCCCATTTTACAGATGAGGTTACATGAGATTAGACCCTTCAGCTGCTCGCCGGGCCACGATTCAGACCCAGATCCATTATTCCAAAGCCTATATAGTCTTTGCACATTGTGCTCTGTCATCTACTCAGGACACCCAACTATAGCTCAGAGGACCCTCAACAGAGAATTCAGAGAAGACAGGAAACTGTTCCAGCCACCTTCACTTCTACCTAGATATTTGGACCGGCCTTTAAACTCCCAGTCCTGGAGCCTTTCCCTGCTGCTGGGGCCCCGCAGCCTCACCCGCAGTTACATATCGGTACAGATAAACCGTAACTGCAGTCCACTTTGTCTCGTCACCTTTATAAGGCATTCCAGGCCTAGCTCTCAAATCCTGGGACCCAATTGGTTCCAGTTGTACCCCATGCACTGGGTTCTCTATAATCTGAATCTAATAACTGGTGAAACATACAACAAAAGGAACTTTTTAAGGGCAAAGAATCACAAGAAATAAAGTACCTTATAATCAACCACCCCTTTCCATTTGCAGGCAAAATGCCTGAAACTAGATCCGGGGTTGCGGTCGAGCAGCTTCAGCACCGAGGCCACCACAGAAGATCACGCGGGAACAAGCGAAAGAATGCGACGCAGCCCGGGCTGACAACAGGCTGCACGTCACAGAGAGAGCCACACGGCAGCTTAAAGTTAAAGGCTGTGCGATAAATAATGTAAATGTATGTTTGCCCTAGATAAATTATGAACGACAAGAACTTGTTGATAAACTAGAAGAGCACTGTCTTGGTCCAGTGAGCTTAAGGGGAACTAACAAAGCAAAGTTATAGAAAGTCATGTTTGGAAAATCATGTCTCAAAATAGAAAGTAAGAAACCCAGCTTCAAACCGGAATTTAAATCCAAGAGCAGAGGCAGGTCTTACTCTAACCGCCTTTGGGACTAAGTGTTCTCCCAGGAGAAATTCTGAAACAACGATGCTCAAGGTTTTGACCACAAGATTCCTTGACACACAATCAGTGGCCCTCACACAGCTTTTGTCTGAGTCATATCTATTTAATGTTTATGTTAATTAAAACTTTTAAATATTGATTAATTAATTTAAAACTACTGTTAATATTTAAAACATTTTCATGAAAGAACTATTTTCTTCAAACAAAAGTGTAATGATTTTTGCACGCTCCTTTAATGCCTAGCTCAGTGGAGAACAGCTGGGCCTGTGTACTGCGGCTGACACGCTGCTATGGCTGAACGGAAGCGTATGAAGAGAATCTAGTCTCACACAGCTGAAGTAGGTGGAAAAGGCAGACATCTTTTAAAAGAGCCTTTTCAGATACTTGTGGACATTCTTTAATATGACACCAAAACTCAGCAAACAAAAGTTTCTTAAAGGTTAGTTGCAACCCAGAATCTGAAATCACAGCGGTGAACTCCGTCACACTGAAATCCATAGGTCCGTTCTGCCCTGTAAACAGACCTTTTACCCAGGCCTGATTTCTCAGCACCGTGTGCATTTGGCCATTTGGAAGATACTAGTTCACTGAACTATACAAATCTTCCAGATGCTGAAACATTCTGTCCTGCGATTATTTGAAAAGACCCTATGAACGGCAGCATCAGAAAAGCCTTCTGGGTAGGAGCTGCAAAGCTCCAATGGCGAATCCAAGTTACCCATGGCTCTAATTTCCACTGGAGAAGCTTATTTTAATCACTGTTGGTAAATACTCTCACTTGTTTTCCGGAAACGATAGGGTCACTCTCTTCATTTCTAAGAAAAAGCCCACCAAATACCCAAATCTGAATCAGCACACTGTTCTTCGAAGTAGCGGTGTCCGTGAAGAAAGGCTGGTTGAGGCCCAGCGCAGTTGCACGAGTGCTGCCCCTGAAACAGTGTTGTGCTTCAGAATGATGGGCCCTTCTTTGTGTTCTCACTGTCAGTGGTGGAAGGAGAATGGGATGCAGTGTCGTCCACTGCCTGCATTTGTGCTCAGGGGACAACAGATTTGCTCAAAATGCTTTTACCCCATTAAGGCAAATAGTGACAAAATTAAGAGGGTAAATACTGTCTTAATATTATTGCAAAAATAACATGGGCTTTGTGGATCCCTGAAAAGGTCGCAGGGAGGGGCCCGTGGACCACACTTTGATCACTACTGTTTCAGAGGGCCACCCAGTCTAACTGGTAGGATTACAGGTAGCTCCTCCAATTTGAGTAAGTCACTCAACATTAGATATCTTTAAATGTGCAAAGCTGATAGGCTTGACAAATCCCACTGTCACTCTGACCCCCCAGAGAGCACGACCCCGTCAGGTTTCTGGTACGGCCAACGTGCTGGCCTGCTTACCCCCGGCAGCAGCAGCGGGACGCTCTGCACACGGCCCTCCGTGCGGCTGTCTGCTGCCGGCATTGGGCCCTGGCTGCTTCCCTCGGGCGTCTGAATGGTCACGTACTGGGCCAGGCTCCGCACACAGCTGTCACAGTGCTCCAGCGCCTGCTGCCTGGTCTCGCCGCCAAACTGCACCCTGAACATGCGACTCTTGTCCTGTTTGACAAATCAAAAGTTACTCTCGTCATATCACTTTACTTTTACGTACCGCGGGGCCTCATGAGTGCTTCCCTTTGCTTGGAGGGGAAGAGGTAGGGATAAAGAGCATTTACCCTAGGCTGATGATGTGGGTATAGAAAAGCTAATAATTCATTTTCTTCCCATGTTGAGGAGCTGTGCCTCATACTAAATTTCATTTCCTTCAGGGAACAGACATTAGTGAATGTGGAGAAGCCCCATACAGACCAGGAAGGAGACCATACTGACTGCAGTAAACAGTCAATGTTTTGTCTTTCTTTGGAATAAAGATTTCCTAGCTTTTAATTCCTGAAGCAAAAAAAAATCAGTGAAGATAACACAGCATATTCTTGGCTCAGCAAAAAATCTTAAACCTCAGTATATGAAAAACCAGGTGAATGCTGCATTAACCAAGCCAGAAAACTTGAATAAGCAAGAGTGGGGAGTGGACCAGACAGGCTGATGCTAAAGCTAATGTGTCATGTGGACAACCGGTGGTGTCCTTCGTCACTGAGGCCAGACTAGCATGCAAATCCCTCAGAATCAAACGTTGCCTGTAATTTGCTCTATGAGTTAGCATCCCTTGGCAAATCAGCAAATTTGAGAGAGATGCAATTAAAAATTTTTAAATCTGGCAACTATGTCAAATTTATTTGATTGTGAATTGAAAAAAATAAATTGTAACAATAAGCCCATTATTTTAAGAGAAGTAGTTTCCTTTTTTCTAATCTAATACTCTGCCTAGTTTAGAGAAGTCACCTCACACAAAAGCCCCTCCAGTGGACTGGCTGTATGTATTGTGTGCCTTTACTCAACTTCTCCCACCAAGAAACTCAGATGCTAACTTAGCGGAGTGACGGCACTTTGCATTTATTAAATCCATACATTACACCGCTAACCGGGAAATGCATCAGACCACAGTTAGCAAAACCCTAAGTTCCTAGAAAAACCCAAAATTTCCTTGATTCTCCCCTTCACAATTTATACTATTTAAATGCAAAGCCCTGGATTTAGGTGACGTGGGGCTGGGCACGGCTGAGCAGGGCTCAGGAGTCCCGTTCAGTACAGACACTGCTGCCCCTTTCTCGCCACTGTTGGTTTTTGTTGTTGCTTAACTAATTTAACTTTTCCCCCTAAGTAGGAAAGGGATCTGTTACCATTACTCCATTCAGCAATGAAAAAATGTGAAACGGAAATATTCTAGTATGTTCCAAGTGGCCCTTCTCGCGTCACTTTACTTTTATTCATCAGAGGGTCTTCTGGTGAGTGCTTGCCTTTGCTTGGAGGGGAAGAGGTGTGGGTGAGGGGCATTTACCCTAGGTTGTATTACGGTGTATTAGAACATACGCACATACTTGTACATGACTATATATAGTTATATCTTATATATAATATAGAGGTTATCTCTATTTACACTACTCTTTTGTAACCTGATTTTTTGTCTCACAATAAGAATAAAAATAGTAGTACTTCATGACTTTTAATGGCTAAAGAGTATTCCTTTAACTGGCTCCAAATGGACAAACATGTGTTTGCAGCCTCTTTTCCTGTTATAAACCACGAGCTTTGATAAGCACACAAACACCTGGTGGGAGGATCCGTGGGTTCTGCGGCCTCGTCCCAGACTTCCCGGGGCAGGACAGCGCCAGTTGCCCCCGAGAGTCTGTGTGCCCACTCCCCCGCACCCACCAACGCCAGAGATAATTCTTCTTTTTATATTTTCAACGTATTAGATTAACATCAATTTTTATCTTAGAACTTCATTTCTTTGATTACGAGTGAGTGTGAATATTCTCCCACTTGTGGTCATTTGTGTTTTTTTCTTCTGTCAGTGCTTGCTCACTTCCTTGGCCACTTTTCTTGGATGAATAATCCCCAAATTATCAAGAGTCACTGAAAGGTCACTTCCCCCAGGAAGGGAAAAGGACTGATAAGAGAACTGTGCAATCAGCTTTTGGTAAAACTACAAATCTTTTGTGAAATTGAGCTGAATTCTTCTTTACAATTCATTAGTTGTTTCCAATGCACTCTGATACAGACTCTGAATAAAGACATCTATATGAAGTAACTTTTTATTAGCTATTTCTATTATTATTAAAGGTTTACTGCATAACCTTTTGAGAAGCAATCACATTAAAAATTATACCCCATAGCTAGATGGAAAACTATGTAAGAAACAGACAAAATTAGCAGACTAATTGTATAAGTCTAGTGGTGTCTACATGTGAAAGAATGAGTTTGGATAGTTAGGGTTTCTCCAGAATGCAGTTCCAGGAAGTGACAGGGGAGGCTGCATGTCTGACAGTTGACTGAAGCCTCGCTCCACACTTCCCTCTGAAATTCTCAGGGAGAATTTGAGCTTATCATCTGTAGCCATAAGTACCACTCCAGTGCCTGAGAGCCCAAGACAAACCACAGTGAATCAGAAGTCCGAACATGAGTGACATCGCCATCCTACATCCCTGACACTATGTGGTAGCACCATGGAAGGCCCGCTACTGGGTTATTAATAAAAAGGATTCCTAGGTTAAAAAGCCTGATAAGATTCATTTTTTGTGCCATAATTAAAAGTCAGAGACTTAATTCACTTGCTGTGAAACTGAAAGTTTTCAAGTATATACAAACAGCCATGAACTGCCCCAAATATAGTCTTAGTTTCTATCATCTAAAGAGATTAACTCAAAATTACTATGTGAAGAGGCACCTTCATGTTAAATTGTTCCCATCCTACTTCAAAACACTGAATTTCAAGTTATTACAATGAACAGAAAATTTTTCATACACACTCCTTGAAGAAACAGGGTGCTTGTCTCTTGACCTTTGAGTGCTCACAGGAGAGTCAAGTTTCCCTAAATTCTGACTCCCAGCTGTGGACAAAATGCCCACATGGACACCATAAAGCCGTCCATGGGCTTTATGGCCTGCTAGGGCTGCAGGGGCTGTGGTCTCAGCACGCGTGGGAGACATGGAGCCCAGTTAGCACCTCACAGGAGGCAAAGCCAAAGAGACATCTGGGGCCTCACAAACCTACTGCTTTTGCTGCCGGTTTCCATAAATCACTCAGATCTGTAGGAAGTTTCCCAGCGCCCTAGGACCCCAGCTGGAGCAGCCCCCCACCTCAGCAGTGAATTCCTCCACTGAGGAGAATGGAGGGGGGAGGGGATAGAGAGAGGGCTTAGCCAGAGAAGGGACCTCAGCATTTTTTTCTTTTGAACCTTTGCTTTTTGAACCTTTTAGTTTCTTTGGAAACCAAAACCTGGGCCAGAAGAAACCATTAAAAAATTGTTCAGTGAGTTACTGGGGGTGGGAAGTAAAGAGGGCAATGGTTTGGGTTTACTCCTTTGAAGCAAAGTCTCTTCAGAAAGGGAATTATGTGTCAGCTGTTGGCCAGTGTGCCAGGGACGCTGTCATCAAACTTCCTGGACAGAAGGAAGTACAAATAGGCAGAAATTACATAACCTACTTGTTTCAGCCAGAGAGAATAGAAATATCTTTATTACCACAGAATTGAAGTTATATTAAATTGCTGTTAAGGCAATGAAAATTTTACTTCAAAATACTTTCTCCATTTGTCAGTTTAAACAATGGTGCTTGTTACATAATACCTGGTTAACTAAAGCTATCCAAGGCAGGAAACACCAAAGATATGCTCTGCCAGGTAAGGCAAAAAGAATCTGTTGGGTCAATATTAATATATTAATATTAACATGGGTTGATTTTAATATATAAAGTCAATAAATCAGAGAAAAACATATCTTGATAGGTGTCAAAAGCCTTTTGATAGAATTTAATATGTAATCCTGATAAAAAGTGTTAGTAAATAAACTATAACTGAAAGGCTATCTATCTCCCTTACATGGTAAAGAATATCCAATCAACAGTCAGAAATGTCCTTAATGTCTAAATGCATCTGCCCATTCAGGTCAGCGATATGTCAAGGGTGGCACTGTAACCACGGAACTACAGCGGGGAAGGCGGGGAAAGTAGTAAGTCTGCGCTACTAGAAGTAAATAAAATTTTCATTGTTTGCAGATTATAAATTACTTTCCTGTAAATTAACAAATTAACCTAAATGATCAGTTAATAAAAGTTTAGTAAGGAAGCTAAATTTATTATTTTTCATTTTAATATATTTTATTGATTGTGCTATTACCATCGTTTCCATTTTTTCCTCTTTATTCCCCTCTGCCCTGTACCCCCTCTCCCACCATCCTTCCCTCTCCTTAGTTCATATTCATGGGTTGTACATGTAAGTTCTTTGGCTTCTCCATTCCCTATACTATTCTTAACTCCATCCTAATTTGTACTATTTATGCTTCTTATTCCCTGCACCTTTTGCCCCATTCTCCCTCCTCCCCCTCCCCGCTGACAACCCTCCATGTGATCTCCATTTCTGTGGCTCTGCTCCTGTTCTAGTTGTTTGCTTAGTATGTTTTTTTTAGGTTCAGTTGTTGATAGTTGTGAGTTTGTTGTAATTTTACTGTTCATAGTTTGGTCTTTTTCTTAGATAAGTTCCTTTAACATTTCATATAATAAAGGCTTGGTGATGATGAACTCCTTTAACTTGACCTTATCTGGGAAGCACTTTATCTGCCCTTCCATTCTAAATGAAAGCTTTGTTGGATAGAGCAATCTTGGATGTAGGTCTTTGCCTTTCATGACTTGGAATACTTCTTTCCAGCCCCTTCTTGCCTGCAAGGTGTCTTTTGAGAAATCAGCTGACAGTCTGATGGGAACTGCTTTGTAGGTAACTGTCTTCTTTTCTCTTGCTGCTTTTAAGATTCTCTCCTTATCTTTAATCTTGGCTAATGTAACTGTGATGTGCCTTGGTGTGTTCCTCCTTGGATCCAACTTCTTTGGGACTCTCTGGGCTTCCTGGACTTCCTTGAATTGTATTTCCTTTGCCAGATTGGGGAAGTTCATTATTTTTTCAAATAAGTTTTCAATTTCTTTTTCTTCCTCTTCTTTTGGCACCCCTATGATTCAGATGCTGGAATATTTAAAGATGTCCTGGAGGTTCCTAAGCCTCTCCTCATTTTTCGCGTTCTTGTTTCTTCATTCTGTTCTGGTTGAATGTTTATTTCTTCCTTCTGCTCCAAACCATTGACTTGAGTCCCAGTTTCCTTCCCATCACTGTTGGTTCCCATAGATTTTTCTCTACTTCTCCTAATGTAACCTTCATTGCTGCCTGGGTCCTTTTTATGCTGTTGAAGTACCCAGTGAGTTCCTGGAGCATCCTGATCACCAGTGCTTTGAACTGTGCATCTGATAGGTTGGCTATCTCTTTGTCACTTAGTTGTATTTTTTCTGGAGCTTTGAACCGTTCTTTCTTGTGGGCCATTTTTTTTTTTTTTTTTTGTCTCTGCACCTGTTAAGTAGTAAGGGAAAGAGCCTTAGGTGTTCACCAGGGGGGGGGCAACCAACATCACTGTGTTTTGATGCTTGAAACTAGTTTTTAAATTTAAATTTTATCACCCTATTGGAAATGATTTGGATAAATGGGCATTCTTACACATTGCTAGTGCTGTAGAAACAGACAACATATCTGGAGGAAAAACTTACTAAATAAATGTTTAAATTTCGAGGACTTCTATCTCAAGAACCATATAAATAAATTCTTATGAAAATCAAAACATAATAGTGAAAATTTGGGAATTAGTCGATTGAATCCCAACCAACAAACTTTCAAAAACTAAGAAATGACTTGGTATAATATTTCTGATGTAATATTACATGACAAGGGGATACAAAGCACTCTATATGCTATAATCCCAAATTCATAAATTATCTACATTGCAGACACTGTTCATTGCCATGGGCCAATCTACAGCAGAGGCTGGAAAAGCCAAATGCTCATTTTGTTATCCTTGGCATGTTAGGATAGCCATATTATGCCATTCTTTCTGGCTCAAGAGATGAAAGTAGACATATTCTAAGAGATATGGGAGGTAGAGAGCTATATAATTAAGTTTATGCTTTCCTTGTATATATATAAAATGAACAGATGAAGCAAAGCTGGTCTTCCTTGAATGAAAATAAGCTAGCTGCAGTAGCCACCGTGCAAATGTAAGGGACAGGCCAAAGGCAAAGACGTTGATGCTGCCACTGCAGAGTTGCTGGGCCACTGCCAGCACTGCCTGTTTCTGGATTTCTTATTTAGTGAAAAAATAAACCCCTCTTGTAGGGGGGCCATGATGCCTGGAATTTCTGTCAAAAGCATCTGAATGCTGATGTAATGTATGTGCCTAGTAAAAACTTCAAAATGTTAATGATAAATTTTTAATTAAAATTTTTGTGTGACATTGGTTTATAATAACATTACATAAATTTCAGGTGTACATTTTTATATGACAATGGTATACTTTTTATGTGCTCACCACCCACACCGCAGCTCCGTCTCTATATATTTGACCTCATTTAACCTCTGGGAGAGGTCGCAGCCACCCTTCCCCTCTGATAACTACCATTCTGTTGTCTGTAATCTAATGATTTTTTTGAGTGGTCAAATTATGTTGGTTTTTATTTTGCTCCTCATAGTTAGTTAAAATTTTAAATAACTATATAATCAGGAAAAAATTAAAACCCAAATATCAGACATATGGCATAGTGTAACTGTGAAAAGACAAGTACATTCAGTCTGCATGACCCGGTCCCAGGCTGGGAGTCAGCAGACGAACAGGCTCAACGTTCTTTGGTAGTTAGTTACAACCTTGGTTATTGGCTCTTGCCAAACTCAGTTTCCTCCTCTGTAAAAAGGAAAACAGGGATTCGTGAATTTTTTTGAGTATGTGCTTCAGACCACTTTGGAAATCTGGTGAAGTCAGTGGACCCCCTCCTAGAATAATGTTTTTGTAATCATACAAATACATAAGATTATCAAGGAAGCCAATTATGCTGAAATGGTTTATTATAATATTAAAATACCTTTGTGAACTAATAATATGCATGCTTCCTTATTAACATACTCCATAGAAAGATCTAGCAGTAGGCCTAGTCACCACCATAATTCTGAGATAGTGGTGAGCATAAGTGACAGCTCAGACGTCTGAAATAACAGTAATGATGTGAAAATGCCTGTGATTTCTAATGGTGCAAAGGTCTAATATGACTGTGGGCTGAAGCCTACATGCGTGACTGAAGGAAAAGATAAATTTCAATTAGAGGTCAGTGAAAGTCCATGCCGGTCCTAGACCCCTGAATTCTCTGAGGACCCTTTGGCAGGTCTGTGGACCCCAGGTTAAGCCCCTTCTATTAGAGGCTATTTAAGACCTCTTCCAACTTTTAGTTTATGAGCCCATTAGAAATTAGGATCTCTCACCTAAATTTCAAGATTATTCAGGGAATGTTAACAGATTGCGTTTCCATGTTATTTCTCAAAGAAAACAATCTAGGTGATTAGTCCACATGCTTCTTTGGTGAGGATCATTCCTTACATTTAATACAGGTAGAAAGCAAAGAAAAGGGAATTTAATTTTTAATAATAAAGAGGTAAAAAATGAAGATACACATTCAGCGAAGCACTCAAAAATATACAACTTTTTAACATCTAGCAAGGTGAACGATGAAGTAGTCCACCTCCCCGGAATCTGTCCTTGGGAGATGGGGAACAGCTGCCCCCCCTCAGAAAGATCTGTCAATCCCTGGCTCCTCAGTAACACCCTCTTACTAACTAGGCTGCTGCCTTTCTACATTTGTTTCATGTTCTGCTCATAATGCAAACCTTCCTTAAACATGTACTATTCTAGTGTCATCTCACCTGCAAAGAGAGGTTCCCACACCACCCATGCGCACACAGATGAGAAGGGTATATATAGTCTTTGCTTAAAGACAGTTGGCCACACAGCATCTTGCCTTTATTGTTGTTCCAAACAACAGACAATCCATGCGTCTTACAATCTTCAACCAGTTCTTGCTACCAATGAGTGAAAACCCTTCCTGAAACAAAATAATTAAGCATAATTAGCAATAAGAGAAAAAAGGGACACAAATAGCTGCAGTGTGGCAAGCGGAGGCTATCTATACCGTACGCACAGTGGTAACTCAGTGCCGCCACTGCCAGGGTGGCCTTCTGGGGAGTCCTGTGTCCCAGGGCTCTCCCTGCACCAGCCACATGAAGAGTCTCACCTTTTGTTCCTTTTCTTCATCTCTTCATATTGAAAAACAATGAACTATTAAAGACAGTAAATGTCCATAGTCATATTTGCTATATTCTTCTATGCCTAAGATTTGCCAAAATAAGAGTCTATATTCCTAAAAGCCAAAATTTCTGTTACACTAATTTATTAACTTAACTGCACATCCCTAACTACATAGTGAGATTTCTCTTCAAGAGACTCTTACTTTCAGATTACTATAGATGGAAAAACTGAAGCAATTTGTTTTTTAGATGAGTGTTTAGTTGAATCTGAAAAAACAAACCAAGAAGGCAAAGAAGGCAGTAGAGAGCGCACACAAGTCTCAAAAGAGGGATAACAGTTGAATGCTAAAGGCGGAAAGATGAACTTTCTCTACAGCTTATTCATAAAGTAAATAGAATTGAGTGTTGAATGATTATAGCTGCTCATTAGCTCCAATTCTGTTGTCAGTGGGTTTCTTCAGTTAAGAGCCCATTAAGTTAGAATGTGTTTTTAGTAAAATGAATCCAGGGGACTGATAAACTGACAGCGTGTAAAACCTGCATGCATGCGGCTTTTCTGCCTTGTAATGTCAGCTACCCACACAGGGAAGGCAGCTATAGGACTTCAAGAAATCTCTAAGTTTTGGAAAGTAAAGGAAAATGTTGTCCCTTATCCTTTGGAACCCTGAGGAATCTCCATTCCTGAATCTGCGTATGATAAAACTTTCATAGAAATTCACAGCCCAGAAAAACAGTGTAGGCTAATTCCTTGATGGTTTCATTAAAAAAAGAGTTCATTCTAAAATGTTGATTCAAACAGTTTTAGCATCAATAGTTGATTTTCTTTCCTTTTCTTTTTTAAATAGAAAATGAAGTTAGGACCCTGGCTGGTGTAACTCAGTGGATTGAGCAAAAGGTTGCTGTGAACCAAAAGGTTGCTGGTTCGATTCCCAGTCAGGGCACATGCCTGGGTTGCAGGCCAGGTCCCCAGTACAGGGTGCATGAAAGGCAATCACACATGGATGTTTCTCTCCCTCTCTTTCACTCTCCCTTCCCCTCTCTCTAAAAATAAATAAATAAACATGAAAATAGCCCTGGCTGGTGTAGCTCAGTGGATTGAGCGCAGATCTGCGAACCAGAGGATCGTGGTTCAATTCCCAGTCAGGGCACATGCCTGGGTTGCAGGCCAGTTCCCTGCAGGCCAGTTCCCAGCAGGGAACGCACTAGAGGCAACCATACATTGATGTTTCTCTCCCTCTCTCCTTCCCCTGTAAAGGTAAATAAAATCTTTTTTAAAAAGTATATTAAAAAAAGGCAACTGCTGCCCATGGTAACACCGTAAGTAGAGGATGTGGTCCAGGCTAATACCAACATCCATCTCTATGGCCAGTATTTCCACCGGGACCCACAGTCATTACAAGCCTTCACAATAATTAGTAATAAAGCTAAATCATCTTTTAAATAAATAAATAAACAAATAAATAAAATCTTAAAAAAAAAAAGAAAATGAAGTTAGTCAAACCATTTGTAATTTCTTCTTCAGACTCTCTTGGAATTAACAAAGAGAGAGTTGTTCATTATTATATCCCAAAACACTCAGATGTAGTTTAAAATAGCAGTACATGGGGAAGCTGGCACTCAGATGCATTGCTGGTGGGAGTGGGGATTTGTGCGCCTCTTGTGGGGGGCAACAGGACAATATCAAATGTACAACCGCAGCTGCTCTTTGATACAGCAATCCCAGGACTGGAATTCATTGCATAGATCAGCCTGTATGTGTATGTAGAGATACATGGACAAGTTTAAGCATTTCTGCATTTTTAATGGCAGAAGACTGATAACAACAAGTATGCGTGAACAAGTGGGCTAGTTAAACAAAAGTACGTACTCTACACAATGCAATAGTATAAAACTAAAAAGTAATGCGTGCGCTATATCACTGCTGTCCAGTACAAGTATAATTGGAGTCACATATTTAGTTTTAAATTTTCTAGTGGCTACATTTTAAGAACAAGAAATTGGTAACATTTTATTTTATTTAACTTAATATAGCAAACATTATGCCCTGGCTGGTATGGCTCAGTGGACTGAGCATGGGCCTGTGAACCAAAGAGTCACTGGTTTAGTCCCCAGCCAGAGCACATGCCTGGGGTACAGGCCAGGTCGCTGGTAGGGGACATGCGAGAGGCAATCACACATTGATTTTTCTCTCCTTCTCTTTCTCTCTCCCTTCACCTCTGTCTAAAAATAAATAAATAAAATCTTTAAAATATATAACAAACATTATTTCAACAGGTAAACAATGTAAAACATTATTAATAAAACAGTACAAAAAAGAGAATGTAAACTAAGTCTTTGAAATCCAGTATGTATTTTTTTAATTTTATTTTTTGATTTTTAGAGAGAGAGGAAGGGAGAAAGAGAGGGAGGGAAACATTAGTATGAGAGAAAAAAAATTAATTGGCTGTCTTCTTGTACGTGCCCTGACCAAACCTGCAACCCAGGCATGTGACCCGGAGTCAAACTGGTGACTTTGTGGGACGATGCCCAACCAACTGAGCCATACCAATCAGGGCTATGGTATATCGTTTAGCAAAAAAGCAAGCAACAGAACAATATCCATAATACACTTTGTTTTATATTAAAAAGGGAGGGAAGACACAATATATACATTTTGTCTAACAACATTTTGGTCAATAATGGACAATGGTGGTTCCACAAAATTATATAAAGAACTGAAAAATTCCTGTCACCTAGTGACATCATAGCCATGGTGACACCTAGTACAACCCTCTACTCACCTGTTTGCCGTGATGCCGGAGTAAACAAACCTATCACATTGCCAGTCATATAAAAGTACAGCACACACAATTATAGTAATAGGCTCTAGTTTGTGTAATACACTCTGATGTTCACACAATTATGAAACTGCCTAATGATGGAATCGTTAACGATGCATTCTCAGAATGTATCCCAGTAGCTGAAGAACACACGATTGTATTCTTACTCTTTGCTTGTATTTACATTTAAAAAATGGAAGGATCAGTACACAAGAGACTAACAAAAATAGCAGTCCGTGGGGAGTGGGAGTGAACCATACAGATAGGGGTAGGGACAGGAGCAAGCATTTTGCTGTGTGCCTTTTCACATTGCTTTCAGTTTTGAACCGCATAAACCTCTTTTGCATGTGTAACAGGAATATGTACACAAACAAGGACACCCATTTCAATATGCGACAAACTCAGGGAAGAGGTAGTAGGACCTAAAGAATGCTAAGTCTATAAGAACTCTACTCTCTTTACAATTTTTCTGTAAATATAAAACCATTCTAAAGTAAAAATCTATTAAAATGGAAAAGGAACAATCAGCTCTTGACCTGGACTGATCTGACCTCTTCCCATGCCTAGTCCAGTTTGGGACCTAGAGCACTTTTCCACCAGGCGGTTCCGCGGGCCTCTCTCCAGGTGCCTGCCCAGTCGGAGAGGCGCTGCTTCCCCACACACATCACTGCTTCTGCCCGTCGTTGCCTCAGTGAATGGCAACAACACAGCCAGTCACTGGGGTGAGGAACCTGGTGTCATGCCTGAGTCCTTTTTTCCCCACTCCTCCCCCAACACCAGTCATATCCAAGAGCTTCTGTCCTCAAACAGCTTCTTCCTCTGACCCTTCTACCCCTGTCCATTGTCACTGCCACATCAGGCTGCCAGCAGTTCTCCCAGGGTTACTGCAATATCTTCTTAACGGGAGCCCCTTCCTCCAAGCCCAGTTTCTCATTCTATCCGTGGTACCACCAGAGTAGTCTTTGTAACACAAAAATGTGATGCAGTTACTCCATTTCGGTGCAGTCACCCCATCACCGCCTCATCCACACCCCACCCCACCCCACCCCATCACAGGAAACCTGCAGGATGCAGTGAAAATTCCTCAGGGCGTGGAGGTCTCTTAAATTCCGCTCCTGCCTTTCATGAGGGATTATTTCCTTCAGCTCTCCTAAACAAAGATACTAGAGCCACACCGAATTCCCTGCAGTTCTGCAAATGTCATGCTCCTCACAACTTGATTTCATGGTGCAGCCCGTTCCTGAAATGGCCTTCCTTTCCCACTTAGCTTTTAAAACCAGCTTTATCTCAACCACTCCCCAGAAGGCAAATTTGGTTATCTCTCAGAAGTCTACGCTCCCTCAGGATCTGTGGTACTTATCAGGCTCCACCATAATTACACGTCTTCCTCCCCAATTGAAATGAGGAGGACTCCCTAGGCAGGGTGAGGCAGGTTCTAGAATGTCTTATTACCTCCTGAGTCTCCAGCAAACAGCCCAATCTCCAGCCCCAGCAGCCACCCGGGTTACGGCTCTGTGCGGCTCTGTGTGGGGCCAGCTGCGGCCTTCCTCCCTGCAGCGCCTCCTACTTGAGCCACTTCTCAGCTCTTCATCAGCTTGTCCGAACTGTTTGGCCTTAGACTTTGTACATCTCTCTGCTTCTACGCCCTGCCTTTTGGCTCATTTAGCCTCTAATCATTGTTCATTTTACCCCTAATCTAAATTGGGACACCCTGTTACACTTTCCCAGAGCACTCATTTTTTTCCCATAGCATTTCTCTGTGCCTATAGTGATTGTTTACTTAACATCTAGGGACTATGTTTTTCTCACTACTGTATATACGAGAATGGCACCTGTCATGGTGTTTGACACTAGAAGATGCTTCAAGTTTTATTGAGTAAATGAACTGAAGAGTGAAGCTCTTTATTAAGATTCATTAACAATTTTTCAAGTCAGCATCATTTCTTGGGGACAGTGTGGTCCACCAATTTATTGCATTA